CATGCCTTTAAGGCAATGGATGAATTGCTCAACTCTCGCATCTCCCAAGGTCCCCTATTCCGCGAAGAGGAGAAACGGGCACCGCCAATACTTCGTTGGGAAAGCAGTATGTGAACTCGACGTAAAAGGCTTCAGCATATGTACCCAGCATCCTAAATCAAACGTGTTGTACTTGCGCTGTACGTCAGTTAGACACAAATCCCATTTTAAAGACGACCAGGTTTCTAGGCTTTGAAAACTTTGTAGAAGGAATAAGGACTGAGGGAAGGAACCCGTTTTCTTACACACAGAACGCTGCGGAAGAGAACATATCCAATAGATACTGGATTGCTGAATTCTGGGTTGGAGCTGTGATACTCCAGTATCTCATGGAATGTGCTATCAGCTTTTGTTTTTTGGGACAAAGGTGATTGTGTCCACTCCAAGCCTATTCCTCCCTCTCACTCCAGATGATGTGCTCTGGAGTCTAAAAGTCCAAAGTGAGTAAAGTCTTGCCCCTAGACAGGTGTGTTGAAGACTATTATGTGTAAGTTGGAGTGTCACTGTAAAACTATACCACAAATGTATGCAGAGTGGTTTGTTCTCCTCTGCCTTAACTTTCAAAGGGTGACATTAAACTGTCATGTCCCAGCTGGTGAGTTTAAAAAAGGATTATAAAATGCCTCTTGCAGATCCACAGCATAATCTTCTATAGTTTTTACAAGACATTATCATGGGCCTTATAAACATTTACACCCTATAACAAGGTACTGTACTGGTGTTTACTGCTATAATGGTCAGGGGTTCACGTGGGTATGCGCCCTCGCCGCTACCACTTCAGGTCGGCCCCCCTCCGTCGGGGACTCGAACCCGGGCCACCGGCCTCACTCAACAGGGACCCAGCCGCTTGAGTCAAAGGGCGGTGACGTCACTGTGCTGGTAAGGCGGCTCTCACAACCAATGGAGGCCTTATGCGTTACTCTGCATTTCATACCATAGAGGGGCGAAGGTCAATGTTAACGCGGATAATAAGCGCTTGGGTGTCGTTAAAGCTTAGATCAGTGCTGTCGCGTTAACGAGGACGCACCCAGCGGCGCAGGTCGAAAGTCGTCTCGGTGCAGCGGTAGAAATGAAAGCCGGTTTCGGCTAAGCGAAGACGACGACGAAGACCGGAAAGGTGAGAGGCTTTTTTTCCCACTCGTTTGCCATCATTGATTTCGAAGGCCTGGGTGGTACACGATTTACAGCTGTAACCAGCACCGCGTCGGACCCGTTCCTAATGCATCTCCTGCGCAGTACTGACGTACTATGTAATAATTCTGAATATTATAGTTGCTAGCAGAGCAGTACACAGCTTTAGCTTCGTGAAGGTGTAAATGATAACAAGTGAGATAAGTGATTCGGCTACATTCGCTTGTTAAATGGGATGGATTCTGGCTTTTGAGCTGCTCGAACGAGATGTACTTGGGAGGTGTGGTTCCATCTTCAAGATTTGGTTTAAAAACCGCGTTTCCGTCTCCGTCTTCGGGTTTATCGCGCCAAACAAATGAAACACAGCGAAATCACGTCCGCCTGTGGCGCTGTGTACGGCAGCCTTTAAGTATGACTACATTTGAGAGGAAATCGGAGAAAATGCTCTCATAAAAAGGCCCGGACTACTTGTATCGGGTCGTGTATCTTTCCCAGCTGGCTATGGCCAGTTCTAGGAAACTATACAGCGATTTTTTTAAAAAACAAACACTGTCCTCATAACTATGAAGGTCTGGCAGCCAAGGTTTCAGGGTATTTACGATAGTTGCGCAACTTTATCTTATTCATAACTAAATGTAATAAAATACATTCCACCTACATACCTTTAACATTGCGTGTTGTTCACCTTTTATGATATGGATATATTGAAATCCGAGGAAAACATCCACGTCGAAAACTTCTTTCACGATCTACAAAAAAGTATTGACTAAATGTTGTGCTAGAAGCCACCGCAGACTTCACACGACGTGTTTCTGGTGACATGCAGTTAAAACGACGTGCTGTGTGTTAGAAAACGTGCTCTTTTACCATTTTATTTATAACGCTAACTCGAATTAGCGCTGTGCCGCTGCAACGACATTTCGTGTCAATATTGATCGATTCACCGTTTCGTTCACTCAGTCAAATGTTTCGGAAACAAGATTCACATTCTACAGCTAAATATAGCTGTGAAAAAATAAATACAAAACTCGAAGCTCTTCACTAGTTCGTGTTATTTCAAACATCGGTATTCATTTCTCACTGGTGACCTGGTTACCTGTATGTATAGCACTGAAAACGTGTCGTGTCATAAACTCTTAGATATATGATTACGGGCTGTACACTTTTATGAATGTTTTTATGACTTAATCGCAATAATCGAACGTCTTCGGCTGAACGATTCCTGTCACTATAATAACCGGATTTTTTTGTAAATACTTCTGACTTCCTTGATCCTCTGTGGGGCCGTTGGTATTTCTGTCTCGGAGTGGCCTGAGGCGGCGTCCTCGCCCCAGCGCCGCCTCGGAGCTGAACTCCACGCGGATCGTCTCTGAGCCTAGTTCTGTCCATCCGTGTCCCGTCTCAGAGTGTCCACAGGAGGAAGTGAGCTCCGAGTCCCGTCCCAGAGTGTCCACGTGAGGAGATGAGCTTCCTGTCGCTGATCTATAGCGGTGGTGAACATGGCCAGGAAGATCGTGGGGAGAGGCAGGGGTAATGTCTCGCATCTGTCCTCCAGAGGGCTCCTACCTTGGGTTTGTTGCAATTGAGAACTGGTTTAGTACTGTGCCGCGGACAAATTTGAGCGGTCACGTTCGTTGCAATTAGTCTTAAGGTTGCACACTGGTTTAGCACGGAGCTGCGTTAGGAGTTAGCACGCTGCTCTGTTTGTTGCAATTGACCGATAGAATTTTGTCCGATGTCGCCATGGTGCGATGATGATGTTATACACAGTTGGCGTGTCGGTCTTGGTCCCGCAGGAGACACAGTCTGCGCGGACAGGCTCCGCCCACAGCAGGGCGCCAATGTGCACACGACCTCATGAACAAACTTGAAGAATTAAGTAAAAGGTGTTTAAGGGTCGGCATCTCTCTTACTCTGCAGACTCGCTCAGAGCTCTGAACGAGCACTTGACCGTGGTCAGCAGCGTGCCCTGCCGCATGACCAGCGAGCAGCTGGAGAGAGCCATGGCAAACGGGTCAGAGCCCTGGGTCAAACCGAACCTGGACGGCAAGGTAGATAGTTTCTTTCTGTCTGCAGTGTATAATTAACTGCAGGGTATCTGGGAAGGGTTTTATTTTTAGGAGAAACTGTCCTGGGTTGTGGGGCACCTGCCTTAATCAGGCAGCAAATAAGAACTTTAATTGAGCCTTAATTGCTTAATTGATCAAGTCCTTGAAAATCTCTTAATTAAGTCTTCTAATGGAGAGCTGAGGAGGTTATTGGTCCCCACCTCCGAATCCCCGGCAATCCCAGAGCGGGGCTGTAATCCACTGGCCAGGCCAGGGCTGTAATCCACTGGATAGAGTAGGGCTGTAATGCACTGGACAGGGCAGGACTGTAATTCGCCGGACAGAGGAGGGCCGTAATCCACTGGCCAGGGCAGGGCCGTAATCCACTGGCCAGGACCAGGCTGTAGTCAACTGGCCAGGGCAGGGCTGTAATCCACTGGCCAGGACAGGGCTGTAATCCACTCCCTCGTGGTTCTTTGTTCTCAGTCGCCCAGCCTGGATGCACTGCGCAGCCTGGAGGAGTGTGTGAAGGTTATCACACAGCTGGCCCAGGACGTGGAGCAGGTGTGCAAGGTGTGGAGAGGAAGACAGAGGGAGGGGGAGGGCGTCTGGGTCAGAAACAAGTGTGGGCGGTTTAATGGCCAGTAGTGGTGGGGACAGTGATCTGTGTCTGGACTTCCAGGTCCTGCTGACTCCTGGACCTCCTGCACAGCTCTCTTTTAGTTTCCTGGACCTTATTTTAAAGCCTTATTTCCTTCCTTGATCTGAACCGTCTTTCCATTCTCAAAATAGTGAAGATTTCAAACCACTGCATGAGCAAGGGAGTTGTCATGTGATAAGACATCTGCAGCCCCACTGAAGCTCAGCAGGTGTGAGCCTGGTCAGTACCTGGATGGGAGACTTCCTGGGAAAGGTTGCTGCTGGAAGAGGTGTTAGTGGGACCAGCAGGGGGAGCTCACCCTGTAGTCTGTGTGGGTTCTAATGCCCCAGAATAGTGACAGGGACACCTACCGTAAAAAGGAACCTTCCTTTGTCTGAGACATAAAACATGGGTCCTCACTCTCTGAGTACATGAAAAATTCTAGGGCATTTCTCAAAAAGAGTAGGGCCGTTACCCCGGCGTCCTGGCCAAATTTCCCCCTGGCCTTTACCAATCATGGCCTCCTAATAATCCCCCTCTCTGAACTGGCTTCATCACTCTGTTCTCCTCCCCACTGAGAGCTGGTGTGTGGGGAGACTGCTGGTGCACTATGGCTGCCGTTGCATCATCCAGGTAGGGCTGCACACTGTTTTTTCCCCCCGTGACAAAAACTTGTGCGCACTAAATTGAGTGTGAGTAAAATTGTAAACCTGAAATTATTTTTGTTAATATAGTCACTCTCATAGAAGCATAGAGATCCAAAAGACCGGAACGGCGATTCAACGAGCCCAGTCGTGGAGACTGAGTGTGGAGCAAGCATGAGCAGGGAGGTACGAGACGACGAGAGCACAGATGGTGGTGGGGGAGGGGATCCCTATTACCTGTAAAGCGCTTTGAGTGGAGCATCCAGAAAAGTGCTATATAGGTGTCAGGAATTAATATTATTAAGGCGGAATTGAAGAAGTTAGCTGTGGGGCTGAAACGCAGAGCTCAGGGAGCAGGAGGGGCCATGCTGAGAGGCAGAGGGAGACACGGGAGGAGGGGTCAGGACCAATGTTCCCTCTAAGCTGTTATGAAATCAGCGCACATAGGAAATTGAACAGCGCACAAGAAATTAAATTCCAAAACAGATACGATAATAATAAAACAAACACGGCCGTCCATTGAAAAATGCGAAATTGACCCCATGAGACTGGCTGCGAGAGGCCCGACTTGGCTGTGTGCGTTATTACTGCTATTCGATCATCGATATCTGTGCTCTCGTCGTCTCGTACCTCCCTGCTCATGCTCGCTCCACACTCGGTCTCCATGACTGGGCTCCTTGAATCTCCGTCCCAGTCTTTTGGATCTCGATGCTTCTATGAGAGTGACTATATTTGCAAAAAATAATTTCAGCTTTACAATTTTACTTAATTTAGTGTGCAGAAGTTTTTGTCACTGGGGAAAAAAATTGGCACAACATTAGATTTTTGCGCACGCAAGGCATTAAAAATTAGAGGGAATGTTGGGCAGGACTGCGACGGAGATGGGCAGCAGGAGGCAGGAGAGCTCAGGGGCCAGAGGAGCCTGTTTCAAGCAGTGGCTGTTCAAATGTGTGCAGAGCGGCAGTGAGGGAGGGGGGAGACGGATGGATGCCGGGAGGAGGACCCCCGGCCCAGGGCAGGAGCGGGGCGCCACCACCAGCCCGGGGACACAGCGCAGCCTGGAGGAGAGTCGCCGGCTCATCCTGCAGTGGACAGCCGAGCTGGACAAGGTGAGAGACAACAGGCTGAGGTCTCCAGGGATCCGGGACCTTGTAGGTGTTGTCCAACTGGAAATCCATCTTCCCATCTTTCACTGAACCACCCCTGTCAGCTTTGTCCGCAGAAGCCCGGGCCAGAGGTCCGAGATGCAGGAGGACACAAGGATGTGGGTGACAAGCAGAGCAGGGAGACAAAACGGCAGAGGATCATGGATTGGGGCCGAGAGCTGCAGTCTGCATCAGAGGTCAGAGGTCGTGGGGTTTTGGGCATGGAAAAACAGGGCACTTGCATTCAGGGCCTCAGCACACATTCGAAAGTCCCACACACAATGATGGCAGAGTCCCTGTGAATGTCTTAAAGGGGACCTGCAACTTCTTAGAAAGAATCGGCATTGATGAGTGCATTTCAAACCACAATGTATGTAAAATGTACACAATAACAATTCAAATCACAAAATAGGTGAAAATTCCAGATAAGCACAGCAACCTGAGGTCTGCAACTCAGAACGAGAAAACAAAACATCTGGTGAAGTGGCCCTTTAACTGTGTAAACAAGCAGGCTTGAGAATGCATGTCTTTTAATCCAGTAGAAATATTTTAGACGGTTTTGCCAACAAATACTACTTCCTTGTTAACTCTGAACATCTCTGCAGTGAAATGTGTGCAGCACAACTTGTACATCACATTACATTAGTCATTACAGTGACTAGTGAGCAGGAAGGGCTGTTTCATGTTGCAGTTCGTAGGAACTCTCACTCTCGCCCACGGCAAGATCAGGGGTTTGTGACAACAATAGCGACCATATAATACTTTCACACAGTTCACAATTTTGCAACACCGTCAATTAATTTATATTGTTATCGAGATTTAATAACTGGTCTGGGAATTGGGAACCACAGTTCCCCTTTAAGAGAAAGAAATCCAAAGGTGACTCAAGAACCAAACCAGTGCGCTGACTGCTGAGCTGCCTCTCATGGTGTCATTGTGAAATCCAGATTCGGTCTGTGGATGTCTTTGAACACAGAACCCCTTTAGTGCTAGTCTCTCTCACGCTGGGTGTGTCTGTGCTGTGCAGGTCCACTCTATCTCTAAGGAGGAGGTGAGGCAGATCCTGAAGAAGGGCCTGAGGAAGAGGAGCCTGGCCCCTGTCCTTCCTCTTCTGGAGTTCATCACCTGGTCCCTGCTCAGAGAGGAGGTGAGGGTCCAGTGGCCATCCGCCTTATAGGAGGTGGACCCTGCAGGACATGTAGCAAAAGCCAAACTCAATTTTAAAACATGCATATAAAGCTGGAGTTATAAAGGTGTTCAAAATATCCTGGACATTAGGATGCTGCAAAAGGGATTCTGTAGTTAGATTACAGAAACCAGAGTCCACTCAGGAAGAAGGAAGAATCAGTGTGGACAACTAGATGCAAAGTCATTCCAGGTCCACTCCTGCCCCAAACACTCTGCCTTCCCCTGTCACTCTGACTGCCTTCTCTTCTCACAGTGGGATGATCCTCAGCTCTGGTTGTCTGCCAGACAGAGGGCTTGGAAAACGGGTGAGTGCATTGTCCTCCTCCCAGCCCACACCTCCGGGTCAGAAGAAAGGGGAGACTCTTCTCGGTATATACTGTTTATATACCGTTATAGCTGTTATGAAATCAGCGCGCATAGGAAATTGAACAGCACACAAGAAATTCGATTCCAAAAAAAGATACGATAATAATAAAACAAACAGTCGTCAATTGAAAAATGCGAAATTGACCCCATGAGACTGGCTGGTATAGAGAGAAAAACCTGGGACAGAGCGCTGTCCGCAGGAATGTACCCAGAAGGCACCAAAGTTTGGCCTTGTACAGGAAGTGTTTGCAGTGATTCCGATAACAAACTGCTTTGTGCTTTGCCTTGACTTGTCTGATTGATCTGTTTTTGGACCTGACTTGTCCGATTGATCTGTTTTTGTGTTCCCTGTTGTGAAACAGGTACGCCAAGATACATCCCCCACTCAGGTAATGACTGAGCTACTCTGTACAACACACAAGGGCTGTCATGGGGACGGTTGGGGAAACCTCATGAAGCTGTAACACGCTTGTTTAAGAAGTGCCTTCCTGTTTTGTTTTGTTTTTTCAGTCTGGACGTGGATCTGCAGCGCTGCAGGTACTGTCTGATTCACTGCTGGTGCAGCATCGTCCACTGCAATAACATTACAGCGACTGGCACAGGCTGGTCCTCATGGCCCATTACTGTGGCCTCCTTGTGCATTTTACCTGGGTTTACTGTGTTTCACTGAGTTTTATCAGCCTTTCGACACTTTTCTTCACACTGAATGCTGTCGGGATTTTCCCTTGCGAATGCCTCCGATTGTACTACACTGCACTGCTGATCCATAACAGTGGGTTTCCAAGGGTTAGGGGGTTTCATCATAGTAGAACTATAAGAAAGCACAGCAAAAAGAAAAGAAATGTGTGTAAAACTCTCAGGAGAAAGGTATTCAATAATACTTAATGGTGGTATTTTTTCATAAAGAATCCAAGTAATTCTAATTGGATTTTCTTTGAGATCTCAGTCATTGCATTATAAAGGTAATTAATAGTCAGCACCTCTGGACGATTGACTCAGGTGTCTAGAAAATATATTGCTTATACTTCCTCACTCTTCTTGCTATAGGAAAAGCTCTGAGCGTAGTTGTGACTGTGAGCTGTTGAGTGTGTGTGAGACTGTGAGCTGTTGAGTCTAGGTGTGCCCATGAGCTGTTGAATGCTGTATCTGTCACACCATAAAAGGCATTTGCTTTTTTTGGCCGATTACACTTGTGTATGACCAATGGGGAGGGGGTCCTGCTGTTATTTTGGTGTGTATTTTGGAAGGTAACTCCAATGCCTGAAGTTCAGTGCCTGTTGTATGTTATCCCAGCCGAAGTGGAGCTAGATCCCAAGACCAGCCACTCCTGGCTCGTCCTCTCCGAGGAGAACAAGACGGTGGAGCTGGGAGACTTGGAGGGCAGTGCTCCCGACGGGCCTCAGCGCTTCGACAGCACTCCATGTGTCCTGGCCTGGGAGGGCTTCTCCTCTGGGCGACACTACTGGGAGGTGGACCTTCCAAACAGCGGAGGCTGGAAACTGGGGGTGACCTCCTCCTCCTCTAAGAGGAAGGGCCGCGTGACCACGCACCCCCAGGGAGGCTACTGGCTGCTTTGGTGCAGCACGAGGACTTTCAGGGCCTGCACAGAGCCCCCCACAGAGCTCCCTCTCTCGCTGCTGCCGCAGGTGATGGGCGTCTACCTAGACTATGAGGAAGGCCAGGTGTCCTTCTACAATGCAGAGACCCAGTGCCACATCTACACCTTCTCCAACTCCTTCCTGGAGAAGGTCTATCCGGTGTTCGCTGTCCTGGATGCCAAGGCCAGGCTCACAGTCAGGTCCCCCAGAGGTTTCACCAGGCTTTAGCAAAAACCAGGCGTCTCCTTCCGGTTCTCGGTGGGTGTCTGGGGGTTAGGTCTTCTGTGAATCGGCTTCAGATGATTCTGAAACTCTGCTCGGACAAATTTCTGTTTCAGACAACTATGTGAAGACTAGAAATGCCTAGAAACAAGCAGAGAGGGAAAGGAAGCCATCACACAATGCGTACAACCAGCCTGTGTGCCCATCCTGTCTGCTATTTTACATCTTCATGACCATGTGAGCTGGTGAGTGTACGTTGGGTTATGAGGATTGTCTGGAATGGACGTCTCTATTGCAAATATCCCAGAAATAAAATAGGTGAGAAAATAAGAAGGCCATGGATTTTTCAGAGCCTTTCCTCTCCCACACTCTGGTGCAGCGTGAACCTGTGAGACAGGAAGGGCTGGTTGCGGTTAAGAGGTCATACTTCATACAAAGGGCAACAACCCTTCCAGAGTCATTCAGGCACACAAAGAACTCCATCTGTACCTTTCTCCTCTGTAGAAAACGGCACTCTGGCCCGAGACTCTGAACAGATTAGCCAACAGGAGGCCTTCTGAGGCTATTGTACAATCCCATACAGCAAGAGCACAGAGCCTGTTTAAACAGCAGCTCTAGGAGCTGGCAGTCTGGACCTCGAGTCAGAGTTAACTGAAGTCGTAGCCGATATGCAATGTCAGACATTGAGGAACACACACCTGCTTATAACATGATTGCTTATGAGGATTCCTGCTGTTTGTGACTTCTAGAGAACTTCTCAGAGCTAAATGTGCTGCAGGGAAGCTAATGACCGCAAGGCACTGAAGATGTACTTTTGTATTGTAAAGTAGAGTGTTTTATCTCCATTCATTTGTTAGAAATGCAATAAAAAAGAAAAGCAAAAACGGTACAGTTGGCAGGTTTGCTGGAGACCTGCCCTCCCCCTTTTGTGTAACCAGTGCCGGTCAGCTTCCCTTCTCAGAGCCGAGCTGGAGGCTCAGAGGAGGTCCGGGAGCGGCTGAGCTCCGTGACGTCACGCAGAGGCGCTGAGTGCGCGCCTCTCTGCAGGATGTCGGCTCAGCCGCGCCGCTGGAAGGAGAGGAAAGCCCGACGCGGGTTCTTCTGGTGCAACGGGGACCCCAGGTGGCCAGAACAGCAATAGCATGCCAGTGAAAAAACTCAATTTAACACCCTGCAATAGAAACCGATCGCGCAGGTCAGACAGCTGGGTTATGTCATCTGCGAAGTCCCACACTGTAGCAGACGTTCTTTTTCTTTCTTGTAAGCAGTTCCGATTTACAGATAGTAATTGCTAATAGCAACTCGGCAGCTCCTGTACCGCCAGTATGGGAAGAGGTCAATCTTACAGCAGCCGAGAACAGTTTGTTTTTGTACCCACAGTAAACTCCAGAGCTCCGGGCTTTCCTTTAAAGGCCTCGCTTGGTGAAAGCGCTTTTGCGTTTCTTAGTGCACACAGTGGTCTTTCCAATAGAATACGTTTGAGGAAGGTTCGCAGTTTGTACCCGCTGCAAGCTGCGCTACTCCAATAAAAACACCCGTCTGTCCATGCAGACTAACTTGCTAAAAGAATAAGAATAATTCATTCCACTTCTATAGTTCTTTTCTGGACGCTCCACTCAAAGTGCTTTACAGGTAATGGGGATCCCCTCCACCACCACCAGTGTGCAGCCCCACCTGGATGATGCGACAGCAGCCATAGTGCACCAGTGCTCTCCCCACACACCAGCTCTCAGTGGCATATATCGGAACAGAGTGATGAAGACAATTATCAGTCTTCCTCCGGGAGTCCCCAACGCTAATCGCCTTCCCTCCACATCCCAAAAGCAGCTAGTTCCGGCAACAAGGAAACCCTGCCCTCGATCCTCCAGAAGCCTACACGAGCAAGCTTCGTCTCTCCCCGCCGCTCACTCGCCTGGCGATGGTTGTACTGGAGTTACGGGTGGGGTGGAGCACGGGACGGATACCAGCCAGGACAAAAAGCGCCGCCACGGAGCGCGGCCGTCATCACACTAACGTGGCCTCATAACTTCACCCGAGACATGCGTTTCCTATACGTATGGAGCTGTCGGTGAGAAAAGTTAGAGCGACTGTTAAAAAGAGCCGTTTTAACGCTTTGGGACCGCGTGATATACTGGGCACTGTTGCCCGTGTTGATCAAAATGTGCATCGCGCATCTGTAAATCCATGTTTAATTATTATTGTTGTTATTATTATGTCATGTCATTTGCCAAACCACTTTCTACCTTACAGTGGTTTGATGGGTAAAGAGGGAGTTCTGCGAGGGTGACCAGCCGGTCCCAGGTTACCCGGACTCTTCCGAGGCACCTTGTTGTCCCGGTATGGGGTTCAGTTCGAGCACTTCCGGCGATCACGTCATCCCTACAGCTGACAATAGCGCGGTGGATCGCTTGGAAGAACCAGCTCAATTCAGCGCGATCTAATATAGTGGTCATAATACTACAGCCTTTATATCACGTGGGCTGTTTAAAGCACCTCTACCTGAAGCAAGGGAATGGGGAAATGGGGCGCACAGCCAGGAGGTAGGAGGGTCTCTCTGCTGAACTGCGCGCGCCAGGGCTCGGACAGAGGACACGCAGCCCACTGCCCGCAGAAGGAACCGCCCAGCACAGCTGACACTGTCGCCCTCTAGCGACTGTAGTGGGCGGTGGAGTTGAGAGGCTGCCCGTGGATTCTTTGTTACAGCAGGGTTTTGGATGCAGTTCTCCGCATAGCCGACTAACTGCTCAGGTGCCCTAAATACATTGCAATTAAATTTCGGAAGACGATTGATTGATTGATCAATTGAGAATCAAGCCTAGATTTCCTGGAGCCTTAGCATCCAGGAAATCTACAACACCTGGAGTCTGAAAAAAGCCACCAAAATTATGTCTGACCCCACTCACCCCAGTCATAGCTTGTTTGTTCCCCTACCATCTTGCAGAAGGTTCCGGTCACTCCAGTCACACACAACTAGACTCCAAAATAGCTTCTTCCCCAGAGCAGTCAAGTTGGTGACGCCCCCACTCCCTCCCATCATATTATGATCTCTCCTAACGTCCTCCTGTACCCACAAGGACTGTACTCCAACACCACTACACACACATGTAAGCCAAAATTGTACTGTCCCTTCGATAGCTCAGTAAAACTGTATCAGTCGTAATATTTATTCATCACCTTACTATTTTTGCACTGTTCCAAGAATTACCTTGCAATGTTTTTGTCCTGTTATATTTTCTCTGTTTGTGGAATTTTGCACAGTTTTGATTACATGTTATTTATGTTATGTTATTACACTGTTATTATTATTGTGTTACTGTCTATTGTCTTATCTTCTGTCCTATTTATATACTGCACCTGAGTGACTCATGAGAAACACTTTTCATTATACTATGCACCTGTGTAAGTATAATGACAATAAAGTTGAATTGAATTAATTGAACTGAATTGAGAAGGCACTTTCACCCAAAGCTGGTTCTGCTGTGAGTGTCCTCTCATAAAGACATTCAATTTCCTTTGCAGCTCCTGTCTCTTGCAGCTGCACTGTGCCACTGGCTTTTCACTCTAGAAACTCTGGAGTGCCTACAATAAACAACAGATCCGCTCCAGAGAGAATAATCGGTCCCGGGTTTGTTACATCGCGCTGTGAAAGACCTGTGTGACCGCACACTGCTTGGCGGTTTCAATCGCAGACCAGCACAAACACAGCAACCACGAAGGCCTTAGGTTTGCTATACAGTACATGGAGCGCTTATGGTTACTCAACTAATTGTTGCTAGAATGATGCATAAAGTGTCATAAAGTGTGATTTTGGAACTCACAAAGACCTAACTGGACACACCTGAGCTCTGTCCTTTACAATCAGCGCAATCAGTGCAGAAGCAAAGGTCCGGCCAAGGCGTCTGATTGGCTGACACCACTCTTGCCCAAGCTGTGGCTCCAGTACTGAGCGATTACCCAATAGCTGACCTCGGCCTTTCAGGGCGCAGGAGTACTTAAGCAGCTGGCCTGCCCAGCTTGTTATCCCTTTGTTGAGTTCTATGATGGAGAGATGCAGGAGCAGCCTGAGTGCCACTGGCCTTGTGTGGTTGTTGTTGGCCCAGCTGGGTGTGTCCTCAGCCCAGGTTCAGAAATGCCTGGTTAAGGAAACTGATAAGATGGTGTGTGGAGACTCAACTATCAGTAAAGCTGACTGTGAAGCTAAAAACTGCTGCTTTGACCAGAGTGGCAGACAGCGCTGTTATTACAGTTATGAAGGTAAGTTGTTTTTTTTTTTTATTTTATTTTGGACTGGTAATGCTATGTTATCTGATAATGGGCTTTCATATGCATAATCTTTCCTCCAGTGACTGTCCAGTGCACCAGGGATGGCCAGTTTGTGGTGGTCGTGTCCAGGAATGCCACCAGCCCTCAGCTGAGCCTGGATTCAGTCAGCCTGCAGGGGGGCAGGAGTGCCCCCTGTGGCCCTGTTAGCACCACTGCTGGCTTTGCCATGTTCCAGTTCCCAGTCAGTGCCTGTGGCACCAGCATGAAGGTGAGGGG